GCCGGGAGCCGTCGGAGCCTCTGCCGAGCCCCGCCGCCGGGATTCGTTTTTGGCTGAGCGTCGGAGCCTCGAGCGAGAGCAGGAGGAGCCAGCGAGGTCGAAGGAGTGTCCTCCTCCTCCTCCTCTGCTTCCTCCCCGTCGAGCCCAGCCTTAAAAGGAAAATTGCGGTGAATCATCGCCCGCGGGCGGCGGGTGCTGGGGAAGGGGCGAAGGAGGGGGGTGGCCAACGCCCTGCCTTCCCCATGGGTCCTTGGGGAGGGCTTGGCGGTGGGTGCAGCACCCATGGATGCCCTGGGGGTCTCCCCCAGCCAACACCCACTCCAGGACGGAGGGAACGCCTGTCCCGCTGCTAAAAGTGCTTGGAAGGGGGGGGGACAGCCGGTGGGTTATCGTTTCGGGGGGGGGTGTTACGCAGAGATGCAGCGGTGTTCAGCTCTTCCCACCCCCCCCTGGAGAAATGGGCCATGGGGTGTGTCCGGTCGTAAAAACGGTTTCCTCCTCCCCCACCTCCCCCCCAAAAAAATCGTATCACTGTCGTTTTTATATGGTGATTAACTCGCTAGTAATTGCGAGGGCTTGACGGGCAGGTATTTATTCCCACAGGTGGGGAAACCGAGGCAGAGAGGCTCAGCAACTCGCCCAAGCGCCGCGGGAGGGACCGCCCCAAAGCAGGGTGCAATCACCTCGTGCCTCTGAGCCGCCGCGCAGCGGGACGGGCCCGACCCCCTCCCAAAATGTCCCGCAGTGGGGCAGCCACTGGCGGGGCGAGCCCGGATCCGGCCGGGGGCAGGGAGACCCCCCCCCCAGCCCCATCGAACTCGGGGGTCCTCCACTGCTCACCTCCAGCCCAGGGCTCCATTTCCCCATCGCCGGAGACTTTTCTCATCTCTCAAGCTATAACTGGAAGAGTTTTGGGGGTCGTTTTGTTGGTTTTGTGTTGTTTTTTTTTTTTTAATTTTTAATTTTTTTTTTGACACAAACTCGCCGTAGGTGCTGGGCCGCCGATGGAAAAGCACCGCCCCGATTAGGATCTCTGCTTCGCGTTGCGCTGCAGTTTCACTCTCATCCTGCTTAAGCTTGTTGCCACACGCCGGGTGCTGGCGGCTGCTGGCCGTGCTGGCGAAGCCTCGGCCTCGCAGCTTGTGCCAATCCCCGGCCTTATCTGCCGTGCGGGAACCGTGCGGGAAGGGCAGGGTGGGGCCGGTGCCTGGCGGCATTGGGCCAACGCAAAAAGGGTTTGGTTTTTTTTTTTATTTTTTAATATTTTTTTTTTTTAATCAGTGTGACTCGCTGCTTTACTCATCCCCCCGGTGCCACCCCATCTCTGTCATCCCCCCGACTCCATCTCGCTCAGCTCCCGCATAGACAGGGCAATGGAGGATGCTGGGGTCAGACGACACGAGAAAGATCCGTGGATGCTTTTCCCAGCCATTTGCAGCCCAGGAAAACACCCTCAGCCTCCACACCGCTCCCTCCCTGCCCTGGCGAGGGGGATTCGGGGCTGCTTACCCCCTCGCAGCCAAACCTCCGGGCACATGGTGGGTCTGGGGTACCCCGGCCCATCGAGGGGCTCACATATGGTAGCAGCACGAGGGTGTCCAGCACCGCCAGCCTCCCCGCAGCCCCTCCGTGTCCCACCCCAGAACCGCACCACGTGCAGTGCCGCGCCAGCAATTAAGAGCTCCTTCCCCAGGTGAGCGTGATCCACTTTGGGAGCAGGTTGTGCAGTAGGGAAAAGGCACTTGCTGAAGGAATGGCCGCATAGGAGACCACTGCCCGTCTCTCACTCTCCGCCCAGCAGACGAGGTGTTTTGGGGAGGGAGGCAGATCCATAGAGACCCTCTAAGAGCTTCAACCAAGCACAAAAGCCCCCATATAGGGACTGGGGGTCAAACGGGCAGCCCGATGTACCCGGCCCTCTAAAAACCACCTCACTCCCGTGCAAAAATGCGAGGCAGCAATCCCCGGGTGGGAGTTAGCCTGAGCTCACACCTCTTTGAGCAGCAAAGGGTCTGCAGCCCCCAGCCCCGGCAGATCACTTGCCACCAGACCTGGCTTCAAAATCTCAGACTGATCCTCCACCAGCCCGGCTGCGTTTGGGCTGTTTAATCCCGTGTCAGTTCTGTTCCGAGAGGATTCCGTGGGGAGACTCCCAGCCCCTGGCAGGACCCCCCCCCGCAGCAGGACGGGACGCTCAGATGGGGTGTGCGATGGCTCGACCTCGGCTCAGGCGTCTGCCGGCAGCCCCTGCCAAAGGGGCTGAGCTGCTGCCAAATTTTAGTTACAATGGGCTGAGAGGAGGCTGCAAAAACATTCTGCTCTACCGGTTTCGTGAAAATCAGCGGGTGGGTGAAGGGAAAGAGCCCCAGATCGCCGCGCAGAGGCTGCGGGTGAGCTCGGCTGCAGCATCCCCCTGCAGAGCACCCATGGGTGCCCCGAATGCCAAAGAACAACACCAGAAGGTGCATCGCCCCGGAGAGAGGGATACCCAGTTAAGCCCCAGCCCCAGGGGACGCTGCCCGGGCCAGGGCACCTCTCCAGTCCCGTGAGCTGAGCTGGCGATGCTGCAGGCAGACATGGGCTGGGCACTCGAGCGGCTCCGCGACGGCAGGCAGGAGGCAGAGGATGCTGGTGGCCGTTCCCAGCGGCACTAGAAGGATGCTGACAGCCCACCCGGCCACCCCCATCCTCACCCATCCAGCCCCACGGCTCCCCAGGCTGTGGGGACACTGCCGGTTCCCGACACTTCAGTGGGGGACGAATTTTGCCTGGGGGGCTCACCGCACCCCAGGTCCCACAGGCACTGCCCATCACTCCTTCCCCGGTCCCAGCGGCAAGGCTGGTGCCCTCCCCGCCGTACAGGAGGGTGCGGAGCCACGGAAGGCTGCGACTTGCCTCAAGGCCACGGCTAGTGCCACAGCCGAGTTTAGGGAGCTCCTGGCTCCCGGTCCCGTGGCCGGCACGGCCGACGGCAGAGGGGTGCCAGCCCTCTGTGGCTCTGCTTGGCTTCCCCACCCCGCGCAGCACCGGCGTGCCCGGGCACGAGCTGCAGGGAGCAGTTCCCCTCCACCGGCAGAGCAGCAACCAGACGCTGGCGTACAGTAAATAGGAGAAACTTTTATTTTGTTACAAAAGTACAAGGCATAAATAGATGGTGAAGTCTACTGGGCTCTACGCTGGGCTGGGGGACAGGCCTGGCTGCACAGCTCCGCAGCGCCGGCTCCCAGCCCAGCCTGTGCTGCAGCCTCCGGCAATGCCGGCTGGTCAAGGTGCTGCAGGGCTTGAACCCCTTTCCCTAAAACTAGAGCTGCGCTAAGATGAAACAGGAAGGTGGGAGCTGGCCAGGGGGGGTTGCAAGGGTAAACCCTGACCACGTACTAACTCCCATCCGGAGAGGTGAGTCCTCCGGCACATGGACACGGCTCAGAGTGGGGCTTGGTGGGCCTGGGTGTGTAATGCCACCGGCTCGGCTGTAACCGCTCTGGCGTGAAGCCTGCTCCTTTCGAAAGCCCGCTGGAACGCTAACCGCTATCTTCCAGCATCTACGGGAGGGGAGACACCTTCACTGGGGGTAAAGCTGGTGGTTACGGGGAGCCACTGGCAGCCTCGCCTTGGTTGCATGAGTCCATCCAGTGGCAGGGGACAGCAGGAACTCCAGTTATTGCACTCGGATGGGACGGCTGTATGGCTTTGAGCTTTGAACCTGCAGGATGGCCGTCCCGGCTCCCAGAGAGGGGTTGGAAAAGCTTTTCCTTGTGCACAGCCGCTTTCCACCCTCTCTTGTGGTGGGAGGGAGGAAGGCGCAGCCATGTAGCCCTGGCGAGCAGAGGCACTCGTGGTGGTCATGGCTGTAGTCTCGGATGCTGCCCGTGGTGTCTTGGCTCCCCGCAGGACGCTCCACGGGAGGCAGAGGGCTGCAGGATGCCAGGGCTCTTGATACTGGATCGACCCAGTGCGAGGGAGAGGAGAGGGGAGGAAGAGAAAGAGAGGGTTAGTGCCAGAAATACACAAGCGAGGAGTAGCAGGGAGCAGAGAGAAGCACCCAGGCTTGGTGGCAGAAAGGGGAGAAAGTCCAGGTTGGAGGAGAGCGCTGGCAGCCACAGGCAGGGAGAAAGGGGCAGTCTTCCTCCATTGCTGCCGCCAAGGCTCGAGCAGGCAGGAGCTCGTGGGGTGAGGGAGAGGGGCAGCTCTGCAGCCCACAAGTGAAGCAGGGCTTCGTCACAACGTGCTTTGGAAGGAACTTACTTTGGCCATGGGCATGCCGGAGGAGGAACTTGGTGTTACAGAGAGGAAAACAGGCAGAGAGGGAGGGAGGGGAGGAATTGCCTGAACCACAGAGCAGGTCAGAGCTGGGATTAGAAATCTGTTCCAGGCCCCCCCTCCTCTCTTCGGGCCACAGCTCGCTCCAAACGCTAAATCTTTGCATCAGTTGGGCGTTCCCTCCAATCCCATCATGGCAGCTCCACTGAGCACAAACCACCACGGCGTGCCATCCAGCAAGCCCCGGGCTTCAGGAACCCTCTGTCCAGAGCCCGAACCAACCCTCAGCCACCCAATTTTCCAAGCACCACCACGCATGCACCACGCAGACCGGGTGGCTCCATCTCGTACCAAGCCCCAGCACAAAGCTGGGGGAAACCATCCTTTTCTTCTCGCCGAGGCTGCAGGCAACCCCTCTGCCACGCAGCCCTGCACTGAGACGGCACAACCCAGGGCTCGCCGCCTCTCACGCCAGCAGGATGCCAGTGGGATACTGGTGGGATGGATGGGCCACATGGCAAACAGATGTCTACACAACTGGAGGGTGATGGGCTCCGTGGACAGAGCTGGTCATGCAGTGGAGATGAGATGGGTCGCTCGAGTGGATGACAGGGAGAAGAAAGCACTTTCTTACCAGCTAACCCTCAGAAAGCAGGGCTAACGTCCAAGGAGGGGGCAAATCCCGTCAGGCTGTGCAGGAAATGGCAAAGTCCTGGCAGGCATCCTCCTGGGGAAGACACCAGAGATTATGCACCTCAACACCTGCCGGTACAGCCGGAGCGGGCTCGGTTAGACGCGGGGGACCACAGGTCCTGGCACAGCCCTGGACCGAACGAGGTAGGTGGGGAAAGGATGCTGAGGTGACAGCTTCTGCAGGAAGGGGATCAGCGAGTAGGTGAGATCCTGCCCAGCCTGGAGTCATGGGACAGAAAAATCCCTTCGCTCCAGCAAGGCTCACGACAGCACCAATTGCTGCTAAGGATCCCTTGTAGCCCCATCCTGCAGGAGGTTCTAACAGATTCCAGGCAAGGCCTGGGCCTCATAAAGAGTCCAACTGCCACCTGACAGCTGTTAAACACAGAGACACCTGCCCTCTTCTCTCTTAAAAAGAATAAAATAATAATCCAAGCAATTAACTCTTTAAAAATATAACTTTATTATGTTGAGTAACAAAGGAAACCGGTTTAAATAAAAACAGGAAGGAGTCTGGCCCCTGGGAACAGCCCCCACACTGCTCCTCACTCCCCAGCACCAGACCCGCTCCGCACAGCTCGGCTCGCCCTGGCCCCACGCCTGCCACGGACAAGCCCCGCTGGGGACATCCCTGCAGGAGAAGCGGGGAGGGAAGGGCAGGGTGGCCTCTCTGGATGCAACACGGACAACACGCTAAAGCACCTGGCCTGTGAGATGGCACGAAGGTGCAGGATTGGGGCGGCTGGCAGAGCATCACCGGGAGCCTCCCCGGGTGGTGAGGGCCATCTGCCGGGATCCGGTAGAAGTTCAGCAGCCGTCGCCCGTGCTCTCACCTTGGCTCTTTGCAGAGGGGAAGGTGGAGCTGGTGGGCACAGCAAAGAAGCACCGAGATCTCTGTGCAGCCAGCCAGAAACGTAAGGCCGGGGGAACCTTGTGCCTCTGCCATCGCCCGGCGTGCCTCGAAGCTGTGCATGGGCTGGCGCGGTCATTCACAGTGTGCGAAGCACGACGCTGGTGAATTCAGTGGGGACAGGCTGCCCCCAGAAATGTGCTGCCTCTGCCTGAGGTTGAAATACATGCGTCTGACCCACGGAAACCTAACCAGGCAGCTCGACACAAAATGCTGCAAGCCTCTACCCTGGTGCTAACATGCATAACGCTACCTGCGCCAAATATAAAACGTTCTACATAGACAAAAAAAAAAATCTACGAATTGTGCAAAAATATCCAGCAGCTTTTAATAACACGATTCAAGTATTGCTAACAAGGTCTGTGACTCTCCCCTACACACACTCCAGTGTCACCGACGCAGAGCTGGCTGCCCAGCCCAGCTCTCCCATGCCTCCGCAGGCACGGAGCGATGCTCGTGGATGAGCCCAAGCACACGGGAATTGCTCCTGAGGCGCTGGGGACAGCCCTGCTCTCGTCTGCTGGCCAGAAACCCAAACCAAGAGCACAACGTGAGGTTATCAGAGATCAGCACCCGTTTCGCTGCTTCCTCTGTGAAACTCCACCTCAAAAGGGTATGACCCTCAGGAATTCAGGCACTTTTCTGTTGCCTTTTGGTCTCGTACAGACAGGACATAACCAGGCCTTCCTGGCAAGCTAAGGTTCCCAAATCTTTCAACTGTAGCCTTGCCAACCAGCATCTCATGACAAGAGCCACAGAACACTGCATGTTTCTTCTTCCCTGTTAAAAGAAGGGTCATCCTAACTCATGTCCTTGCTGCAAAACGCTGTCTTACTGACTGGCAGGGCCAAAACACAGAGTTCTTCAGCACCTCCTCAGTGACCAGCCAGAAAATAGGATCAACAGCAGCTGGGACATCTAGCTAGCTTCCACATCTGCTGGGAGCCAGAGTCCTCCCAGCTGAAGAGCCCCGAATTACCGAGACACAACCACTTCTGGAAAAGAAAAGCCAATCCGGCAGCGGTCAAGGTGAGAACCCAGCCATTAAGAGACAGAACAGTCCTTCCACGTCAGCACAGGGGAGCAGGACACGTTCATGAAGATAACAGGGATAACAGGGAACTTATGACTCCACCAGCCCAGAAGACGAGCTGTGACAGCCCAGCTCAGAGCGGGAACCCTTTGCCAGTCCCCAGCTCCCATCATCGGCCCACCTCATTACTCCTGGCAGGAAACAGTGATCCCCAGGAGCAGACGCTCCGGACTCAGAAGGTCTAGTGGCTCCCCAGACCTATTTGCTTCCCAGGTGCAGCAGGAACCCCCTGCTTTCTGCACAAATCTGAGGGTCTTGCATGCTGTTGGGCTCTCTCAGTCCAAAGTCCAGACAGGCCACATCACAGTGAAACAAAAAATAATAAATAAACTTAAAAAAAAAATAAAAAAAGGCAACACATGGCTCGACCGAGTCTTTGGCAGCTCTGCATCACAGGGCTGTCCTGCCTGAGGCTGGGGAGATGGTAAGAGGGGAAGGTACTGGCTGGAGCGAGGTGCAGGCACAGCAGGCACTGGGCTACATCACAGCACTGCTAGGGAACACCTCCTACCATGCTGGTGTCAGTTTTGGCTCCAAAGGAAGGGATTTCGCTCTTAGGACTGGCCGGGGTCCCGACATCTGGCTGGATAAATCCTCTTCTGTCTATCAAACTGGAAAACAGAAAGGGAAGGGTGCAAGAGGAGAGGAGTTCAGGAAATGAAGACTCCGTGAAGGCAGGAGCTCACAAGCCACAGAGAGGGTTCTCCTCGTGGGAACTGCCAAACAAAGCATCGGCAGGAGCACGCTGGATAACACAGCTTCCTGCCCATTACACAAACCACAAACTTATCACACAAGCCACCAAGCAGCTTTTAGGCAGTTAAAGATTTGGGTCACCACAAACCCAAACGGGAACTGGCAAAAGGTCTTCACAACAGGAGAACAACGTGAATGAGGAAAGAACTGGGAGTAAAACACTATTCTCTCCACAGCCTCCCAGCAAACAGCTTGGCTCCCTCAATCTGCAGATCTACCATCTCTGAAGGGCAGCACTGGCATTTCAGCACCTCCGAATCCAACCAAAAGCTTGGGGGCACTTCAGAGAGCAGGGCCAGATATAAGCGTAAAACACACTTTGACTCTAGCTCCACAGCCTCAGGACACCCTCCCCGGCTGTTGTGTTACACTGAGTTAGCACCTCTGAGACGCTCCACATAAATCCAAATTGGATCCACTGAATAAACTTGTCTCAAGGATCCCCACATGCCCTAGGACAGGCTGAGAGCTCCAAGTCAGTGTGGAGGTCCTCAGCTCCTGCTGCACAGCGCATGGGGACGCCGGCCTGACTCTGCCCAATTGCACCCTCTTGTGACAAAGCAGCGATAATCCCATGCTGCAGGTACCCGTGCTTCAGGCCCAAAACTTCCTTACATCTGCAGCAAACTGCCCACCTTTGCCCTTGTTTTAACATCATTTCTGGTTAACTCAGGTAAGAGCATTTGGTAGGAGGCTACTAAGCGTTTCAGGTAATCTAAGTGTTGGTAAAACCCAGGCTCTCCGCACTGCCTGGTGCGGATCTCTGCCAGCTGTGCCACGATGCTCAATCCTCAGAGTACAGGAGGAAAAACAGTGCTAAGAAGTAGTGCCACTACTGGTATTTACCATCTGCTGCCAAGCCCTTTGGTGCCATTACTCTCCCCTTATTGAATCGCAGGATGTGTCTTATCTGCAAACTCCATGAAACAATTACAAGCGACCCAAACTCATCGAGCTCAAACACAGGAGAAGCAACAGCTGTATCTCTTACTTATCCATATCTCCAGCCTTTCTACGCAGAGACTGGGAAACTGTTTTCTCATCATCATTGAAGTAGATGTGTTTGTGCTGACACAGTCTCCCCTGAATTGTGATAAATCTGTCCTTTCCAAGGCACCTCCCACAGAGCAGGATGTAATTCCCAATGGCATGGAGGTCAAAAGCTCTTACCTGGGATGGAATGGTCCACACAGCACTGCACAGCAGTTTGTGAGGATACTTTTATGGCTGTAGGGATTGGCAAACTCTGAACCCCTCTTATTCGACCAGGACCCTTTGATCTGAAAGGGAAAGGATACAGGCAGATTAAGACAGGAAAGATGTGATAACAGATAATTTCACGATAATAGACTCGGTTCAAATCCTTACTCAAGAAGTAGAAGGCTTGTCTAACTGCAAACATCCTCCCTCTCTTTGCTTTAACAAGCTGGACAGCTGCAGAAAGGCAGCCAGAAGAGAGAGCAATATGCTGCTCCTGCCTCTGCCAAGGTTCAGCCTCGCAGCGAGAAAGCTTCAAAGCTGTGCCCTCCCCGTGCTGCATGGCAACTTGTCAGTATCACCATCCTCAATGCCAGCCTCCTCCTCCTCCCCTCATTCTCTCCTAGGCTGAAAGCTCATCAGAGCAGGGCTCTACCTCATGGTCTCTCCTGGGCTCCTCAGGCTGAACAAACAGCAAGGGGATTCCCAGGCCATGCTGCAACAGGAGGAAACAATCTCATCTGCCCCCACCCTGAGCAGCTGCCACTGGGACTCTGATTTTGAAACCCCGGTCACATCAAGCATAGGCACACACGAGTGGGCAGATGCTATACCTGGCCTCAGGCCCCTGGCTGCAGTGAACCATTTACCATTACGTTTCCTCCTTTTGTTTTTACTTCCTCTCTCCAGTTGCAGCATAAGGCTGGCAACGTGGGCAATGCAAGCAGAGAGGCAACGGGCCACATGCTTTGGACCTGGTGCTCTCAGTACTGGGGTGCGACCTCCATTAGCTTCACTTACGTGGCCTTGTGCAGTTCTGCCAACACCTCTGAACATAACAGAGAGGTGGAGAGGGGAAAAAGTGGGGAAGAAAAAGAAAAAAAAAGGGGATGCAAACATGCCTTGTGCAGTGCTGGAAGCTTCCAGGAAGGATAACAGGTACTTCTGGCCAGAAGGATGAATTTTGATTCCTTCTGAGGATCAGACAGATCCTGCTTTTCCATACAATCTGCCCTGCTCAGGGTACTCATTTGGCCCTTGGAGTCTGCAAGCACCCCAGACTTTGACGTAAATCTCATCAGATGTCTGTACATTATTTGCCTATTAGACATGAGGAACTGATAGAGACAAAGGGACTTGCCCAGGATCTCAGAGGAAATTTGTGGTTATGCGGGATGCTGAATTAAGATCACCCATGTCCCAGGCTAACACCCAAATAAATCTCTGGGGACAGCCTTCCTTTTTTAATCTCAGAACTCCTAATTTTAAGTGAGGCCACATACAGACTGGAAAAAACAAACACATGACCTTTCTAACACTGCAGCGCGTGACCCCCATAGCCTGACACTGCCAAGCAACACGTGTTGCACAGTGCCCTGCTGTTGCATGCTGCTTTCCTCCCACTCAGCTACCTGAAACTACAGCCTAAATGCCTTGGGCACGGGCCCTTTGCTTTGCGATGGATTATCACAGGCAATGCAGGCAGCATGCCTTACTGAGATACTGCACTGAGGCAGGCAGCCAAGTATCTCCTGAAAACCTCACCTCTACTTAGGAAGCACCAGGGCCGGCCCTGCAGAAGGACAAGCGTCCAGGTACTTACATCTTCGTTTGTCGTCAGGTTGGAAGCAACTAAATAAGTGTGAAAACCTGAGAGGCCCAAAATAGACCAGACTGAGAAAAAACAAATCACCAGCTCCAGCACAGTGAAACAAAAGTCAAGGAAGTCTCAGAGAACAAAATCATCCTGCAAGGAGAGGCAGAGGAATGTTTTGGGAGGTGCATGCTGCAACCACACACACTGGGCCACAAAAACATCCCAACAAGCTTCCCATTCCCCATACCATTCTGCAGGCATCCACCAAGGCACAGCCTGCTCCAGCCGCTTCCCTTTCCATGTAAACTTGCAACCTGGGAAACAAGTTTGTCACCCACCCTTAGTCCCTGGTGGTCAACTAAAGGTCTTCCCAACTTTGTGACATTATCGGTCTACAGATGAAGGGATGCCTGCCTGACCCAACCAGGTAGCTAGGGGATTAAATTAAATTGTGGAAAGTACACCAGGGCGACCCTACGAAGAGCTCATTGCACCTCTCTGTTACATGGTTAGTGTCACTGCACCAGTGCTCGACAGTCTGAGCAGCTGATGGCATCAGAAGGATATCTTGCAGGTGTTGTCTTCAGAGTGGCAAGGAATCCATCTCTCTGAGAGCCTGCAAAGCAAAATAGGACAAGGAACAACACTGCATCAGGCAGCCCTGCATCTCCAGCCAACGCTACACTCCCCAGCAGACAGTCACCTCCCTGTGGGCCATATGGATCTGCCTGGCTGCCTGAGAAACATCTGCAGTCTGTAACTTTGCAGAAATGTCAGTATGCAGACACAGCTCCAGGAGATTTGGGGCTGACAGGCAAGTCACTTTCCCCGCCAGGTTAAGAGCAAATACACCCACCAGCTCATTTGCTCTGGAGGGGATAACCCAGTCACCAGCTCTCAAGGTCTCTCTGTAGCCCCATGCAGGGTGGATCTGTGGTTCCCTGCAGTCTGAGACCCCGTTTATTCAGGCCACCTGCACTGAAAAGCCTGGTGTAAACCAACCAGACCCCTCCCACACTCTGTCCCACAGGAACAGTGACCCAGTGCTGCCTCAAGTCATTTGTGGCCGGGAGCATGGCACGCATCGCTGTTAGTACTCACGGTACTTACGCAGAGTGAGGTGGGTGACAACACAGGCGAAGATGAAGGCTGTCAGGAAGGAGAGGGAGAGGATGAAGGCATAGAAGTAGCGATAGTTGCGCTTCCCCACGCAGTTGCCCACCCAGGGGCAGTGGTGATCAAACCTCTCTGAAACAAAGGGACACGGTGAGGACTCCTGCCGCCTTGCACCCCATACCAGAGCAAACTCTGCTGAGCCCCCAAAAAACAGGGGCTACAAATCCAGCTTCCACCCACCACCCTGAGACCACAACCCCTCTGCAGCAGTACGTTAGCAAGAAGTTTCAACAGAGCACTGCCACCTGCTCGCATGCCCTTTTTTACCATCAAAGGCCAAACCATTCCTCTCGCCAAACCCTGCAGAAATACAAGCCTTGTGACATCTACCATTACTAAAACTGAAAGAGAGCAGGGAAAGCGTGGCAGTTTTTCCAGTACCTAGCAGCACTGGGTGTGTGTGCGCGCACACAGTGTCGCTGCTCCCTTTCTGCATGTCAGCTTCACCCGCCTTCTTCAGGGCAGAAAATAATTTTCAAAGTTATAAAGATATGCCTATAAAACCACAGAAACTGCCTGGGAACCCAGGGCAGGTGCAATATATCTGGAAACACTCCCAACTGCCTTCTAATGAAAGGGCTGCATTTCAGACTAACAGGACTGTGGTAACCATTCTGCGGGGGACACCAGTGCAAACAAAAACCCATCGCACGCAAAGCAGGCGCATGCCCGCTCCCCCAGATGGCTCCTCTTCAAACACTGCTCCAGCCACGGCTGCTTTCCAGCGAGCCGTTCCAGCGTAAGGAGGAGTCACAGCCACCCACGGCTATCCCCGAACACAGAACGCTCAGTAACTCCCAAACTTCTTCTCTTAACCAGAGCCTTGGGGTCCTGTGACTGCTCGCTCCTCAGGCTGCCCTGGCAGACAGCATAAAGCACAGCCTCCACATCCACACGATGCACGACCAGGAGCAGCCGCATGAGGAGTAAACTCTCCGGGCATGCCCCTAAATCACATGCCACCCTGTTGCCAGTTCAAGTTGCTCCGGTGCAGCCAGGCTACGCTGGGAACCTCCCTGCCCACCCCCCTGCAGCTGCCCCACGCCTGCGCCTTGACTGTGTGGAGCCATCAGAGGCTTTTCTTCAGGTCTTTGTTCGTTCCCTCCTGCCCCACCACACTCTGAGGGCACAGGGAGAGGACATAGAAGAGCTCAGCCAGCATCTACGGTGGTGCCTCTACCAGCCTGGCGACAGCAAGGCCACGGACAACAAGGAGCCTGCAGCAAACCTCGTGTCTGGTGGAGGCCTTAACTGCATTTCACAGTACCGTCCTCCCAGAACCAGGGAAAGCAGAGATACAGAGTCTTGGACCTGAGCCACTGCACTGGTGTTGCTTTCATTTTAAATGGGAAGAAGAAAGACCAGTCAATATCTTGCTTTATAATCCTTTACGAGAAGCAAAAGCAATCTGTCCAGGAACACAAACCACACACCCCCACCCCAAGGTATCAGCACCTTTCCACGTTCTGGGCTTACCGACACAGTTGTCGCAGACACTGCAGTGAGAGGTGCGTGGAGGGCGGAACATTTTGCAGGTGTAGCAGTACTTGAGTTTCACCACATACTTGTTTATGACCACTTCCATCGTGCGGGCTGGTGGGCGATATGTAGAGGTACCCATGCTGTCTGCAAGGGCGAGGAGAGACAGTCAAATTGCTGCAGGTGAAACCCAAGCCCCCCTATCACCCTGAGCTGCTTCCTGGCAGGGTAAGGGATCGGCACGTGCTTTCCTGATTTTCAGCAAAAGCTAAGAGGCAGCTCAGCCTACAGGATTTGTTGCGGGGTGGGCAGCCAGGAACTCCAGTCAGCTCCTCGCAGCATTATTTATGTCCTTTCCTTGTCTGTTCAATGACAATGCTGCTGGGATGCCAAGAGGAAGTAATATCTGCCCAATGCTTTAAGAACTTAAAGCAATTTATAAATAGCGAGCGTAAAAGCAGCAGTGTTAACGTGCCCAGTAACACCAACTCATCTCTGTGAGTCCAACAGATCACAACACGAGGAGGCAACATAATCTGTCAACGTACACGTGGTTCCTCCTCTGCTGTAAGCATCCAAGTTACAGAAATCAGGGTAACCTCAGCAGAAGCATCCCCCACCGCTGCCAGCACAGAACTTGCCAACCCGCAGCTGGAGCCAGCAGCACCGCCAGGCTCAAGGGACTCATTTCCATCACAGCGGGGGAGGACAGCGAGCAGGTCTCAAGTGCTCCAGGCAGATTTCATTGAAATTTGACATGTGAATGTTAGTAGCGCAAGAGGAATCCTCCTCCTCAAGGTCGAGATTGAGGATTTTTAGGGATGCTGCAAGTCACACCTGTGTGTGCTGGCACTTCATTGTTCACTGGGGACTGGCTCTTTCTCTGCTCAGCAAAAGCGTGAGCTGGAAAAGCTCTGTATCACGTTTGCAATTTTGGGGGTTATTCCTTTATTTTAGTCACTCTTATAAGAGCACCTTTCCAACTCTGAGGAAGTCTTTGAGAATAGAGATGTAACAGTGAGCATGTTAAGAGGGTAAGAAGTGGATTATATTAACAGCAACAGCTGGTGCATCAGGCAGCATCTGCAACCAGATTACTGCTTCAGGCACTTATAAATAGAAACACAGATAACCACTCTGAGGGTATTTTAAAAACATTTTTTTCATCAGAGGTAGAATTACTGCCTTGCAACCGTCTTCAGCGAGGCAGATTCAAGCTGTCTTGCATCAGCTTTGCTAAAGCATTTGTTACTACGCCTCACATCAACAAAGTCCCCAGATCCTTGATGCGTACACCTTCTTGGCCACCACCAAAACAGTGTGACAGAGCAGTTTTTAGATGGGGACAAACATTAGCATACTGTTAGAAACCATTACAATAAAGGAAACCTTGTGGCACAGCAGGCTCAATGGCAAATCATAATCTTAAAAAGCATTCATGCTTAAATTAATTATCCTATGTCCTCACTGCCCGTATTTTGGAGAAGAACACACAGGGTCCGATTCCTCTGAGCTTGGACAACATTCAAAGTAACTAACGCACCGTTACGGAGCAGCACAAACACTCTCGCTCTGTCTTCAAGAGCCTGGCAGTGTGATTCTGAAGGGGGACTTTGTGCTCTCCCAGCCGCTGCTACACAGTCCCTAACAGTATTCATGTTTAGGACACCAATGTCGCAAGCTCTCCCTCCCCTGAGCTCTGCACGGGGCCACTGGCCACTCAGGCATCGTCCTGAGGGCAGGAACAGGTACAGCCATGACCCACTGTACAGGGCTTTGCCTAGGAAAGCAATGGGACTGAACAGAAAGGAAAACCACCTCTGCTTCTCTGCAGATCCTCTCTCTGACGCACTGCCTGCTCTGCTAGAGGAGCTTGTTGCAACTCTCTTACCAGGACTCATAAGACAGTCTCTAGCCTCACAATCTGATACTCTGGCCTTTTCTCCCCCTGGACAACTGGTGAGGAGTAAAGACCGAAAGGAGACTCGCTGAGCCCGAAACACACGTGCGCACATGCACACAGAAGCACGCACTGGACCAAACACGGGAGAGGGAATAGAAGTCTCACCAATCCGCTTTTCCAGGTCTGCGGCCTCACTTGGGGTGGCTCTGGGCAGGATACCCGGGTCTCTGAAGCTTGTCTGGAGCAGGCAGCTGATGACAAAGAAGAAGAGGATGGCTGCAATGATGGGGATGGCCAAGGTGAGGTGACTGGCAAGGAAGGGGCAGCTGTTAAAAGAAAAAAAAAAATTGCATTGTTACCAACCATCACTACAGAACTGGCTCTCAGCTGTGACACTACACACTACGAATTATCACAGGGCAGCGGGCTGAAGTGCTGCTGCTTTGCAGAGACCTCTGGAACAGCAAGAGCCAGCCCAGAAAACACTGGAGTGGCACTGGGAAGACAGGGTCTTTGGCACAGAGATGGCAGTACGAGTCCCCGTACACAACCTCTTTGCCTTTCTGAAGTCCCAGAACTGCGTTTCAAAAACCTGTCAGCTGCCCCGAAGCCCGGTCACCCTCTACAACAGCAGCATCAAGAACACACGGAGAAACACCCCAAACTTAAGCAGGGATCAAAATCGGCATGAACGTGATCCCATTTGGTCCCAACACGCGAAGCCGAGAGGGAACTTGGCTTCGATTCAGCACAGCTTTGCTGTCTCTGGATGACTCGTGTGGCCTTCATGGTGTACCAGATGTTTGGAGGAGGATGCCTTTCAGCACTGACACCGCTGTGACAAGCCACCAGGCATCTAAGCAGACGATGCCCGCTCCTGGGTTTGCCGTACTACGACCTGGGGCTGTTTTTCCACAGATGGGGACTGGCGCGATGGTCCACATCAGGGCAGCTCTGTTACTCACAGCACGACAGGTGAAGACAGCCGAGGAACATAGCTCTTTGCACGGCACAGTGCCGGCGACCCCTCTTGTCCCTCGCTCTGCAGAGGGATTTGCTGTTATAAGCACTGATAAGTACCAGAGTCGAGCGCAGACAGGCAAGCTGCTTGAGACCCGATGTCTGCGGGCAGCGCTAAGTCTCAGTAACGCTGCGAGGCAGTTTGAGAGGATTAAGCAACTTTTGTTTCAACTCCCAAGCTCAGCTGTCCAGAACAAAGCAGCCACCAAGCAACAAAACCCCTTCAGCCCAAGACCAACACTGCTGCCGAGCCCCTCGGTCATCTCCCTGACAGAGGGACAGAAAGGTCTCTGAAATGAGAGGTGTGAGCTTTGTTGCCACCCCTTTTCCAGGGGAATCTCTGGAGCCCGCTTTTCCCCATCAGGCAACAAGAAATTGCATTTGGGAAAAAAAAAAAAAAAAAGTGGACTGTAGACACAGGCAAGATGTATTTGCTATACATTCAGCAAACCGTAACCGATGCAAACAGAAGCACACTGCTAAAATAACAACTTGGAAAGCCCCAGGGCATCTTCAAGCAAGAAAGAGTGACTAGGCAAGAAGGGAGGGGAGAGCAGATGTCCTCTGCTTGGCCCCGTACAAAGCAGTTACTGTGCTAGAGCTACCCATTAGTTTCAGATACAGCAGAGAAAGCTGTCAAAGAGGCACAGACGACAGTAAGAAAGGAGTTTTCGCGTCGGGATGCCGTTACTGCCTCCCACAGCTGCCTGCCCCTTTCAGCTCATCTGACTTCTCAGAACCTCTAATCCGATCAAATACCTTCATCTCCCTGCCAGCAGGCTTGGACAGCTTTACTCTGAGACTCCCAGAGATAACGCCATGATCCAAAGACAGACAAACCCCCCCCCCCAGCCCCCCCCCCCGGCTTCATACAGTGGCAAGAAAAACAAGCTCCCTTCCCTCCTGAGACAGAAATGCGGAGGCAGGAGAGCAGAATCCCTCAGAGGTGTCAATAACCAACGGCGCTCCTTCCCCAGCTCCTCCGGGCAGCGCAGGACGTAACAGGGTGCTCTTGGCTCTCCTCTCCCTCAGGGCACAGGAATGGGGAGCTTCCCCGGCCCAGCTTTCCAAAAGGAAAGGGGACTGGGATAGATGCAGCTCCCTCTTCCTCAGACACTGCTGCACAATGGGGACAGAGCTCCAGCGCAGACCCTCAAGGTGGGACCCCAAAGGATTTCACCATTTATCGAGCACCTTGAACAGAAACACTGTTCCTATTGCCTCTAGGGACCAAGTCCACCAGTCTTGGGGGTTTCCTGGCTGCAATTCTGGACCAGTTTTCTCCTCTGTAGCAGGAAGGAAGATTGGTGGTGGTATTTAGAGACCAGGGGGGCATCCTGGGAGGATGTTAACCCCCTTCCCAGGGCCAGACTGAGCAAACAAGCTCCAGGGCCGCCCCTGCCCACCCCCACACGAACACACCTGGGGACAGGCAAAGGGGAAGCAGGGACTGCCCGCAACGTGGGTCTGGGGGCTGTGCAGCAGGGGAATGGCTTGGGGTGGGGGGGAGAAGGGAAGGATATCGGGGGTCCCATGGCGGGGCAGAGAGGTGCCCCCCCCAACCCCCGAGGGCGTGGGTGGGATGCCAGCTAACCCACGGCTCCCCCCAAAAGGAGGGGGCTTAAAGGAGGGGGACAAGAGCTGCTCGGAGCCCCCAGTGGGGTTGATCCGAGGGCCAGACCCCACGCGGCTTTACCCCAGCAGGGAAGGGGACCTAAACCCTTTTTTTTTGGGGGGGGGTGGCCGGTCCCGGGGCCCCAGCGCGGGGGGACACGGACGCCCCAAAGCCCCGCAGACCCCGGGGCGGTGCCCGGAGCCCCCCGGCCCGGCAGCCCGGACTCACTCGAAGGCGAAGAAGAGGCCGCTGGTGGCCAGGATGAGGCCGAGGGTGAGAGCGAAGACTCCGCTGTGCCGAGCCAGCATGAGGCGACCGCCGCAGTAGAACCGGTTACGGCCCGGGAACACCTCCCACTTCCGCCGGGGACGACGGGCCGGCCCGGCCCGCTCCGGCCCGGTGGATAACGGAGGTGACGAAACAACCGTACCCGGTCCCGGCCCCGCTACCCCCGGCGGGATCTGCCGGTACTCGCAGTCCTTCATGGCGCCGCAGCGCCCGGTCCCGGCCCCGCCGCGCCGCTCGCCCGGTGGAC